GGGGGGGGGGGGGGGGGGGGGGGGGGGGATAGAACCTGGACATTCCGCCACTAAAGCAGATATGATTGCCATCTCATGCCAAAGTTGGTTTGCAAATCTATTGACAACAAGAAGTAAGCTGATTACTTCACTTCAAAGAGAGGCTCCATAGTAACTCAATAAGAAGAAAAAAACAATTGACCATTTGTTGAGACTTCTATGTCATTCAAAGCACAACTCAGGCCACAGAGACACTTTAGTAAACTGGATGGCCAGCTCAACAGTAAATTCAAAAAAGCATTGGCTTTAAGCCCTACATATTAAAAAGCCCCAAATTATAGAGTTATAAATCAACGATTAAACTCATTATAATTTAGCTTAACAACAAAACTCCTGAAACTCTCATCATATGATTTCAATTTCAGAAAAACAAAAGGACACAGAGACTGTCATACAGAAGGAGAGAGAGAGAGAGAGATAAATAGAGAACCTGGGATGCGTGTGGCTTTGAATAGAAAGCGGCGAGAGAGGCGAAAGTCTCTGAGACTCGAAGAGGAGGAGGCGCTAGGGATCAATCGACTGAGAAGAAGAAGGAGAAGAAAGAGGCGAGAATCTTGAGACTCGAAGAGGAGGATGCGCTAGAAATTTTATGCTTTTTGTGCACGCATTAACATGTATATATTTTTTTAAAAAAAATTATACATGTGGGTTGAGTAGGGTGAGGTTGAAATGGAAAAAATTTATGATTATTTCTCATTCCTATCCTTTCATTAGCCAGCTGATTTTTATGAAAGCCGATCAATTAGGTTGGATAGGGTCGAAATTGATCAGGTATGAAAAATTTTGAACACCTTTACTTGAAAAATTAAGTTAATAAAATAAAATTTAAAATTTAAGTTCAAAAGTGTTATCCACCTCACACATATACATTTTAAATGACAAAAAAGGGTTAACACTTGGATAAAAAAATATAATAAACATCTATCTTCTATATATAAAAATAACTCAAACACATTTTCTATTTTTTCCAAATTTGATTTTGTTCCCATTTCAATATAAAAATACCAACTAATTGAATTGTTTATTTTCATAGAGGACTCACAATAAAAAGTAATTAATATAAAAAAATTCAATAAAGTTATTAACGGGGAAAATAAAATATAATAAAATAATAGGTGAACGTTGTATACATAAACAAATTAAGGATCATAAAAAAATAGTAAAATAATTCAATGACAATGAATTATAAATGTATGCTGTTAGTCGATCATATAATATTACAATTTTTATGAATAACATACAAAATAAATAAAAAACACATAAAAACAATAATGAAACAATATATTGTGCCCCAAAAGTGCGGGTCAAGTAGGAGATAAGAAAGATAAACAGATATACAAATTTGTTTGCTAAAATATGTGTACTTAATCATGATAATCTATATATATTTATAATTCTTATGAATTATACTATTGAACAGTTATTCGTAGATAACATGTATTAAATAACAAATATGTAATATTTAATATATTTTAGATGCTTAAATTATATAAAAAAAAATATCATATGACACCATATTGTAACATTAAATATCTTTACTATGAAAATACTTTAATACGGTCAACACATAATTTGATAAAATTAAAAAAATGCATAAAATATAAAATAACATATATATTACATTTAATTATTGTGTGTCATTCGATAATCAATTTGTTTTATTTAATCAGTTCTATGAACAAAGACTCGAGAGTGAGAGATGAGTAGAGATTACAATCGTTGTGAGATCTACAAACACTTCGATCCTTTAGATGAAAGGAATCACAACAAGGCCAGCTTAAGACTCATTCATTAAAATAATCGTCTAGAGCCCCAAAAATTTATGGCTCTAATTTAATTTTAGTTCAATTTCATGTTATGACACCCTTTTGAATGGACAAAGTTAAAAGTCCAATATATTTTACAAGTCCATTTAAAGTCTTATAAAAAGATCTAAAATACAACAATTTCACAAGTCTACGTAAAAATTATAGAAAATCTTAAAATATAATAAATCTTTCTAAAAAAATATAAAAATTGACAAGTCTAGATTTAAACTAGGCCTAGACCCAATTCATAGATTGTGCCCAAATCATCAAAAGGCAGGGTCAAGCTCAGCTTAGTCCAGAAGTCTAAAACACCTAAGAGGATCAGCGCACGTGGAGAGTAAACATCGGGATAACCACTATTCGAACATCAAGATTATTTTTAATTTTACTTATTCTTAACTGTAGCTATTCTCCCGAAAGACTAGTCACCTATTCTTTCACGCCACCGCCTCAACTAAAGTTCTATACCTATAAATTGTAAAACCTTTACACATGAAGAAGAGACTTCTACATCTCACACATAGATACCCCCACCTCACCTACTTTGACTTCATTTCTCTCCCATCTGCTACTTTATTCATACAGTCTTTCGACCACTATTGTCGCATTCAAAGTGGAGTAGGTAATTTTAACTGAACTACTCTATATTTGTGTGTTGTCTGTGTTGATCTCACCTTTATATTTATTACATTTATTGCCTATATTAATTATTCAACAAGTAGTACATAAATCTATTTTTGTGCTTCATCAAAAATAATGATTTCTAGTTTTAAAAGTTACAATTATTTTCACTATTTTTTCCTTCACTCTCATCGTCTCTTCAACTTTTTCTCTCTTTTCCACTCTCATTGTCTTGTTTTGATTTTTGTCATTATCTCTAACTTTTTTATTGTCACTTTAAGTCTTTNGGATCAAAATATAATTTATTAATTTAATTTTAGGTGCACATTGATACAAATTTCTATTTTTGAATGTGCAAATTGAGATTTTTTATCTTTGGAGATGCACATTGATACAAATTTCTATCTTTGAGGGTGTAAATTGAGATTTTTGATCTTTGGGGGTGCACATTGATACAAATTTTTATATTTGAGGGTGTAAATTGAGATTTTTGATATTTGAGGGTGCAAATTGAGATTCGAACAATCTTTCGGGGTGCAAAGTGAGATTAACCCTTTTTTAAATATATCGGTCGTAACTAACATCTTTTGTTAACGGACTTGATGAAAATGCTCATGTTATCACTTTATCTNGGATAAGTTCAATTTTAACAACACTTCCTTTCGATTTTAAGTAACATCTTTTGTTAACGGACATGATAAAAATGCTCATGTTATTAGTTTACTCGTAAACTATATATTTTTTAAATATATCGGTCGTAACTAACATCTTTTGTTAACGGACTTGATGAAAATGCTCATGTTATCACTTTATCCGTAAACTTTATATTTTTTTATATATTGGGAAAGATTGCTATTGAAATTAAGTTTATTTATAGGGTAAATAAAATTTCCTTTTTTAAAAAAATTATTACTTGATCATAATAAGATGACATTTACTTTTTTTTGAATCATAATTTGACTGCAATTAATTGTAAATATCTTCTCTTGGATTATGAAATATTATAATTATTTTGTATAGTAAACAATACACATAAAAATTGAATTACACTCCCTTATTTTTTGTTTGTATCATCAACGCCTGTGTGGATTGGTTAAGACCAAAACAATTGGAAGTCCAAGTAGTATATTATTACACTCATTCACTAATAATAGACTCGCCAACATTAATGTTCTACATAGAATGAAAATTTAGGGGCGTGGTACCCCAAGACCCAACTGATTTCACATGAATATAGTTGTATTTCTAGCATAAAGATTAGCAAGGAGCCTTGCTATGTTCCCTATAGTAGTGCCAAGTACATAGCATTGAGTATCTACTGCCAGCCAGCACACATATCTGAGTTGTGTTCTTCAATTGGAAACACATATATAATGTGGTTGTTGAAGGAACTGGTTCTTGACTGCTGCAGTTTCTATTCTTTCCCACTTCTCCTTTCTCCTCATCTCTTCCTCGCGAGTCGTGGACTCATGACGTTCAAGCTTTTGCAGGCACTTTGAGTACAAAGTGGGCTCCATTTCTTCCAGCATCAATTTAACATTTTCTGTCAATTGCCGAACACTTGGGTTCCAATGCCATTTCAGGTTCTTCTCCATTCCCTCGACTAACACAGGAAACACCTCTTCCATCGCTGCTGATGCCATCTTCACGAACTGCTCGTTGTTCCACACATAGAGTGCACGCTCTGCTACCTAATTTCAGAGAATCACAAAGATTTAATGTTACCATAATATAAATATTAATTGATGGAACCCCTTATGTTGTGTACATGCACCACCCAAGTCAGATAAAATTAACATAAATAAATGATACATACAAGAAAAAGAAGAGTTTTTGGTTTCAGAAACTGTGTCCAGAGGCAAAGACAAAAAGGGTTGGCTCCCACAATGAAAATTACAAAGAAAAGGACTCGTATCCAATAATTCAAACATGCACTATCACAAACTCCATCAGCTATAACAGTTTTTTATAAGGAAAAAGGAACCAACAGAATTTAATATAGCAATGTCTACTCCTAATTGGGTTTTGAGATCACTGTCATGATTCTTCACCTTGTCTAAGAGCGCCGTGAATTCCATCACATACAGCAAGTGCATTCAGCATAAATTCTTGGTATTCACGACTTCATAAAGAAACAACAAAGTGAAATAGTAAAAAAGAACAATTGAATGCAAGAACTTACTGGTTTGGCTTGGAAGCCTAAGTCCACAAGTGAAGACAGAAATCTATTATTAACTATCAAGATTGCAAAGAGTTCTCGAAAAGCTTTTGCCAACTTGCAAAAGAACGTTCACTTTGTCATGAATTTGCAATATATACCACCCAAAAAACTCTAGTTTCCTAATTGAGTTCAATTTTCAAAAGACTCTAACAGTATTTTTTTCATATATGGGACTTAGTTTCAAGTTTCATGATCCTTAACACGACTACTTCTCAAGTTATTGACCACTAATGTATATTTGCTACTACTTACCAGACTCTACATTTAACATGTAAAAGCCATAGGAAAAGGCTGCACAGACCAACAAGAATGAAGTTTGGGGATCTTAAAATTTGATAGAGCCAATAAACAATTACTGTCGTGACAGAGATATATGGGCAGGAATTAGTTGAATAGAAACGCCTTAATTGAATAAATTAAAATATGAATCCACCAAAACAGGAAAATGTGTATTCATTGTACCTGTGAGTTGAAACTGTTCAAGCACTTTGTTATTTGGGTACATAAAGGCAGAGCTAACTTCCTATGCTGCTCAGGATCTACGTTCTCCACCAATTCCTCCAACTCCCCTATAAGCAAAACCTCCTTCTGACAGTTAGTGACAGGCCAATATTTCAAAATCCCTCTAATAGCAATCCCACCAAGCACAGGCTCCTTCTGCACAAACTGAGAAACACAATAGGCCAACTGCCTATGGTAAACCTGTAAACCTTTTGGCTTATGCAGAGGAACCAGAACTCTCATCAAGAAAAGCTTGTGTTCTTCCTTGAGTGGGACAGTGAAGCCATTAATGATGCTTCCCCAAATCTCAAGTAGCTCTCCTATGCCACAGTGTCTCTGATCTGTCTCAAAAACATAGTGCAAGAACACATCATTCATTGCCTTTCGCATTGATGATCGGTAGAACGTGAACTTTAAATATATCCGGTGGTAGACATTCTTCAAGGTCTCACGCTCCCTCTGATCTTCAGACTGAAAAAAGGACAGAAGATTGAGAAGGAAGGATTGATCAATGTAATCTCGAAGTGCCTTGGCATCTGTGCTGAGTACTAGCTGGAGAAGGATATCGTAGACAATTTGCAAGTGTGGCCATGCAGCTACAGGTGTAGCAGTGAGATCCTCATCATCAGGGAAGACAAAGATGATGTTGCATTGGGGAGGAAGTGGACGGAAGAGGTTGGCCGATAACATGGAGAAAAGGGCAGATAGAACTTGATCATGGAGCGGCTTTTTCAAAGACTTTATGATGGAGAGGAGCTGGATGAGCTTGAGCTGCTTCAAATCTTGCTGTGAAGGAGATTCCAGAGGATCAGTGAAGGAATAGGTGATGGAGCAGTAAGAGATGGTTGAAAGTAGTTCATCGTTTTCGGATTCAAAAGATGATTGCCTGCCAATATTGTTGCTGCTGTGAAAGTTACTGCCAGTGCTGGCCCTGGAATCAAGTTCAAATAGGTCCTGCAGTGTGTGAGATTTTTTCTTTGGTGAGGCTTTTAGGCTGTTTCTACGAGCACCCATGTCTCCCTCTGTTCTTTTCTTCTCTTATTTCCTTAGTTATCTCTTACGATATACTATGTCCAAATGCCTCAGTTGTGTGTGTGTGTGTTTGTGTGTGTGTGTGAGAGAGAGAGAGATAGAGAGAGAGAGAGAGAGAGAGAGAGAGAGAGAGATTCATGTTTCTTTTTATCTTATTTCCTTGTTGGTTCCTAAAAGAATAGGCAATGTTTCATAGGCAATGATTATTGTAATATCCGTGACACCAAGATATAGACTTTGCCTAGCAGTCTCAGAACTAAGACAGGTAAGATGAGTTTAAAGTCAAAAATGAACTTTTGTCTTTGGTGCAATTGCGTGAGATTGCATAGGAATTTTTGTTCTGTGAGCCTCTTAGATGGCAGTCATCCTAACACAACTGTAGAGGCAATGGCAACAAAGGGATTTCAAACTAAGCCTTAATCTGATTAGGAGCCAATAGTAAAAACTGTGTGGTATGGTTGCTTTCATCACATTGTGAAAAGAAGTCGGAACCGAAAAATTGTAACATTGTCACGCACAATTCTCAATCTTTTTCNCCTTAATCTGATTAGGAGCCAATAGTAAAAACTGTGTGGTATGGTTGCTTTCATCACTTTGTGAAAAGAAGTCAGAACCGAAAAATTGTAACATTGTCACGCACAATTCTGAATCTTTTTGATCTGCATAAATCATAATGTACAAATAAACAAGCCATAGTTTACATCACCAAGAATACTTAGTTCAGATCGATAGTGCAAAGGAATGAAATCAGGCATAGAATGTTCTAGCGAGGTACCCTTCCACAGCATAAGTCACAACAAAATGCACCGAGGTTTGTTTAGCACATGCCTACCTCGATTTTAACTAAAACCATAAAGTAATTCCACCATAAGGGTTTCTACCAAGAAGTTCCCTGAACAAGAACTTTCAGCAACTGTATGTGTATTTAATTTTCTGTCAATAAGATCTTTAACACTGCATACTATGAATTTCCTGTTGGTGCCTTCAAATCCTTCCATTACTGTGTGGAGCTAAAGGCATAATTATAGATTCTGTAGACAAAGCTAAAAGAGTCATATATAAGAATTCAAATGTGCTTTGAAATACATGTCCAGCAGTGTACATCCTAACTGCCTAATAAGCTTTTTTAGTTAGCAGTCTTGAGGGAAATTTGAAAAAGCAGAACAATAATAAACCAGAAGAAGAAAGCAAAAGGACTACCGAAACAAAAAGAACCTACCTGATGACTTCTGTGAAGCATAAGAACCATGAATGCAGTGCCATTGTTAAATATATGTAGTTCATAGTAGATATAGAAACAAAACACAGGCAAACTCGAATCATATAAATATAGAGCAAATTAAGTTTTGTCAAGCATTGCTTTCTAGAAGAAATAAATATTTCCACTTTGGGTAATAATTGCCTTTCTACACGATCGAGGAATTACAAATATGAAAGGAGGAGGGAACCTGTAGCATAATGTACTATCAGTAGTAAGTGTGAAAAGTTGAGTTGGGATGCAAATATGATCTAGATAAAGATTAGAGAAAATTGCCATAAGGCACTGGAGTATAGAGAAAAGAAGCCTATAAATCACTAGTAGAAAATGAATCAGCATCTTTTAAGGCCCATCAAGGTCACCAATTCACAGAAATAACAACATGTCTGCATAAAATTCGAACTAGAAATTCACACATCCACACACAAGTACAAATGCCGGGACGAAACTAGAAATTCGAAGCTAGGGGGGGTCAATATTGACAATATTAATACCTTTTTTTTTTTATCAGAGACAATATTAATACTTGGGCAGATAAAAAATTGCATAAAATTCAATGCTGGAAAATTGAATTTTTTGATAGTTTCACCACCATACATACAACTACAAGAAGAAAAAAATATCTCACATATTGATACCTGAGAAAATACCTATTTGCCCAAGCACTCTGACTTTTCTAAGTGATTAAATATTAGGATTAAACATTTTGAGATAAAAAAGCACGAGATTCCCGCCACTGAGGGGTCTAGGTAGAGTTAGATATAAAAGATGGAAGGCTACTACTACAAAATTACATTTTCAACTTTAATTCAAGGTTCAGTACCCTTGGGACAATCAGGATGGAGATCTCGGAGGTCAGAACTAACAGAAAACCTAAGCCACCTTTTTTTCTCACTGTATTTGAGACAAGGCTGCATGACAAACCCAACCATGACAGCCAAGAGACTAAGAGCCATGATTTTGAAGGAAGCAAGGGCCAAAACCGCAAAAATCAATAGAGATGGAGGAATACACATTAATATTGCTCCAGTTGTACCTACTGGTATCCTATAAGGCCGATATACTGCAGGGTATTTCATCCTTAACTTCACAAAGGCAATGAACTCCATAATCATTCCAAAGCAGTATAAAAAATTCTCTGCTGCTATAATCTCTTGAAAGCTCAGCCATGAGAGCAAAACCACGCCTGATGCAGAGAATAAAATCCCAGTAAGAGGGGTCCCGTAACGAGACCTCTTGGCAAAACACTCGGGAAGCATCCCATGCTCTGCCATTCCCAGAAGTTGAAAGGAGTCACTGCTCATCTCAGCCACAAACATGCCCATATTTGACAAAGCAGAAGCCCCCAGAACCCACAATTGCAACCATAGCCCTCCAAGAAGTTTAGCTATATCTGCGAAAAAACCATCACTCCACAGTTCACGATTAAGTGGAATAGCTCCTGTTCCAATCAGAAGAGGAAAAAAATACCCCAGCACAACCAAAATCAGAGCATAGAAGAGAGCTCTGGGGAGTGTTCTAGCAGGATTTTCCACTTCTCCTGCTAGAGTACTGATCGAGTCCCAATAGTTCAAATTCCAGAATAGAGAATTCAAGTATAAAGCCCAATCCACGTTGCGCAAGTCTACAACAAACCATCTTGAAAGCTTCAGTTTAGGAATTGCAACAAATCCCATAACAACAAAAGGAAGGATGGAGAACACTCCTAGCACTACAGCGATCCATCCCACTATGGTCAAACCCCTGTAGTTCATATAAGTGAGTGCTAGAGTGAGAACAAGCACTGCTATCATCCTAGGGAAACCACCTGCTAAATATGGAACAGAGAACTTCAAATAGTCCAGAAACAGGATTGGGTATAGTGCATTATCTATTACCCCACTGAGCCATTTCATCCAACCTTGCTGAAATCCCCAGTAAGGACCCAAAGCTGAAGAAACCCAAACCACATAACCCCCATTCTCAGGAAACATAGTACCCAATTCTGCGGTTATTAAGGCTTCAGGAACACTCCATATAAATGGAAAAAGCAGAAACCCGAGAAGAGCTAAAAGAGGACCAGCAGCCTGCACACTGTCTTCCACACCAAAAGGCCCCCCAGAGACCCCGTAAAAGACAAGGAAAACAAGAGGTATAACCGAAACCTTTTTGAAGTTCTCTAACCTGGGAGGGACTGCTTCCCCCAACCCCAAATTTTCAGTATTATCATATGCCGGCATTTGAACAAATGTTTGCTTAGGTGTTGAAACTCTCTGTTTCTGTACACAAAATAAGATTTTGACATACCAATTCAAAAGGTGGGGTTTTCGAACAAAATATTCAGATAAACAAAAGAACTCAACTTCTACTCATCCAGGAACATGGTAAATCTGCCCTTATAAAGTACATCTTTATGTTTCATTATTCAGATCAAATAAACCAATGAAACCGTGGGTTGCTGCTTAGCTGGTTAATTGGGAACTACGCAGACTGCAGATCAACCTTGCCCATTTGCAATAATAGTTATAGCTAGTTACGACCTTCTCTTTCCCCTTCTTTCGCTTCTATTTCTCTCTGAACAATCCCTTTGAGATCGTTTAATGAATAAGACTTTTCAATTATTAGCACACAACACCTTTCCTAAATGTTAGTTAAACCACTCAAGATGCTCACACACTTTAAACTTGACTTATTATCAAGCTCATTCAACCAAGCCCACCAATTGCTAAAACCAACCTCACTTGAATTTCAAGCTCAACAGCTTAACAGGCCAAGCATTAAGGAATCGAGGATAGCACATTCATGAAATATCCATATACCGACCTTTTCGACATCAAATTGCCTTTGGTTCACATACCAAATAGTAAAACTGCACACATTCTATTGTGCTTATGTCACGGGCCTTAAACCATAAGTGACCATATCGTTTATAATTATTTGACACAAAGTTAATTTACTGTGTCTCTACCACCAATCACGACCGTCGATCATTCTTGTCATCTATCTCTGGATATCACATCATATACCAAACAGTAAAAACATTTCCAAAAAAGAAACAAACAAACAAACAAAAAAACTCAAGTCTCGTCAAATCACAAATTTCAAGCATGCGGGTCTTCACGAAACAGTTAAATTATGAAGTATACACCAGTTCCAATTTTACCTATGAACATATTAAGCAATAGAATTGCTCTCTGCTCTCTCTCTCAANATTTCAAGCATGCGGGTCTTCACGAAACAGTTAAATTATGAAGTATACACCAGTTCCGATTTTACCTATGAACATATTAAGCAATAGAATTGCTCTCTGCTCTCTCTCTCAAAGAGCAGAAATCAACTGTACATATCACGACAATTCATTGCGACATGAGTCTCACTAAAGAATTGAAAAAGATAAGATAGATTTACAATTTACCTCAATCCTGCATTTTTTGTACAGTGAAACCAAAAGTCAATGAAACATAGGATAGAACAATTCAAATACTTACCATTGAAGCCATGAGGAAGTTCGACAGGAGTTGTAATGCTGGTGGGAGTGTCACTACGGGCCACCACGTGTCAACTTTCAGGTGAGATTCGATTAGGTGTGGCAGAGTAGGCAAGTCTGATGCACAGATCACCAGATGTCCGAAATGTGTGTGTGTGTATGTATGAGAGAGAGAGAGAGAGAGAGAGAGTTTAATCCTCAAGGGAGAGAAAGGGTTCAGATAAGTCGGAGTTTCAGAAGGATTCTATGATTAAAAGTGGAGAGAGAAAAGGAGTGCCAAAAATTTGCCCACTTCGAAGCTTTTCCTTTCGCATCATACTTCTTCAAACACTGAATGGTTATTGTCATTGTACACGACTCACCAACTTCACCCTTTGGCCATTGCAATTAGTAAACTCAGTGACTTGGTAGGTCAATGTGTGAGTTTGATTAATTAATAGTCATTAGCTTGACGTGGTTCTGTTGAGATCTATAATCTGATTATAATGAATGAGATTATTAAATTATATTAATAAATTAAGTTTAAATTATATTATTAAAATTTTTTTTTTTCTCGCTTTCAAATTTAAATAAGACAAAAATTCAATAAAAATCCAAATCCCCTCCTGCCAATGGATGGAACCCAAACCCTCACTCCACTGGATTAACTAAAACATTGCACCTCCCAACCATCTCCCCCTCTCAGACTACTCTTCCCCCTTTCCCACTAGTTTTTCTGTGTCCCCAAAGACATATTTGGGGGTGTGTGATGAAATTGAAGGGCATAAATAAGTTCAATAAAATCCAATCTCTTTGCAGTTGACCAAGAGGAGCTAGATTAATACCGGATTCAATGTTTAGTACTTCAATGAATCCAAAATAAGTTGCAAATTTTTAATTTTGATGGTGTAAATTAGTGGGATGAGCAGAGGGTATGAATTATGCTTGACAATTTGGATATGAGCTACAAGGCTCGTGAGGATCGTGTTTAAGATTACTAGGGGATTGGGGTGATTTACACAATAAAAATGTAGTGATTTACCAGTTCGAGAACTCTACTATTCCACTCTTTAATGGAGACTCTTACTTCTTTGACTTCAATAATGGGAGATGAAATTTACAATCTGCCTCTTAGGCAACCAGGGATTCTTGTTTGTTGTTGGAGGTGTTATACAATATTTATAGAGTTGTTCCTTGTTCTGTGGAATCTCTGTCGAGATCTTAGCCTTTCATCCATAAATTCTTCCTTGATTGTTGGAGAATATTTTAGTTGGTTGAGAATTTTGTACTTTGAATATGACTCTTTGAATATGACTCTTTATCACCTGTAGGGTTCCTGTTAACATCCAGTTGTTCTCTTGTCATTTTCACTACTGTCTCGTCTGAGGGGAAGTTCTAGCTCTGGTCCTCTGAGTTTTACGTGTCTTGTCTAACTTCTGCGCCTGAGCTCATACTTAAAAAATTATTCTAGATGTCTTCAAATTTATATTAAAAATCTCTCTCTATATTGGTACATATAATTTCATCTATGTTTTTCACGACATATGAGACGACCATAGTGAAAGAGTAATGTTGGATGGCGGTTCTCGTAACTAACATAGAGGCAATAGTTGGAGATGTGACGATGACAACCATAGTACTGTAGTAATGATGTCTAAGATTTGCCAACCTACAATTACCAATTTGGCTGTTGGAGTGGATACAGAAATAGGTAATTGAAACAGTAAATCTCATTTTCCTACCAAAGCATGGCATATCTAAATCCAACACTACTCTTATCAAATACCCCTCCCAGAGTTATTTGTAACAACCACACACAGCAGTCTAGCACCTTCTATTATTATCAAACGATCTTAGTTGAATCTCCACCACAACTTCCCAATTTCGAAAATTTTCCTAATTAGGGAACTTTCTAAAATCAAATCTTCCAGTCATTTAAACCTCAACCCCAGCCCAAGATGGAAACAACGTTAATTACGGTCTGGGATGATCTGGATTTTCAATTAAAACCATCTGAATCCATCGGCATTAATAACAGAGATGATCACTGTTCAGCCTGTTGTGTATACTAGCCTCAGAGACCTCTTGCCCTGCTTGATGCAGGCGACGACCAGCCGAAAAGGTAGCTGGCGTGAAATTCCGATCAAAGACCCACTTGTTCAGCATGCTGCTTGGGCTTATCTCCAGCCGATGATGACGGCGCGTGAGGTCGATGATCGGAGTTCTTCTGTGAGGTTGAAGAGTAAGTGTTGTCGGCTGTTGGAGTGCTTCGGAGAGTTCTTTGACGACGTCGTAGTGCCGACAATTAAAGGGTGGTTTAGTAATGGAGGTACAGAGAGTGAAGATGGTAGTGGTGGTAGATGAAGTTGACTCTTGAGTTATGAGACAAAGCGGCTTTTTGAAGCTTTGTTTTGACTGGTTGATAGAGTTCTGATTTGTATATAGAGATTCTCTTTTAATTTTCCATTTTCCACTATTTCTTATTGATTATTTGGTGGTGATGTGTAAATAGAAAGCTAAATTGGTTGTCTATGGAGGAGGAAGCTGATTTATTTATTTATTTTTGTTTTTTGGAGTTTTTAATTGTGTTTTTTTAATCCAATTAAACTTTAATATAATATTTTTTGTATGGTACATGTTATACATTGTTGTATACTAAACGCTCATTTGCATATCATACTAAGAAAAAAGAGGATTAGATTCGAGAATAGACGATGTTGAAAACTTCTGGAACCCATCTAAATCATTAATTAATTTTTTTGTAAGTTTGTTATATATATATATTAGCATTTGCATTGCTATTACATCTACTATTTATATATTAAGGTTTATATAGATTATTTTATCATAGGGTGATCAAATATATTTTTGCTTTTATGACAAATGATTTTTTTCTTTAAAAAATTAATAAATGTTATAAAATCGTAGTTAGTATTTTCATAGTCTACATCCTCAAACAGATATACATATATTTTATAATAACATTAAAGTGAGAACAAATTTTCTTGCTCCTTTGAGGAATATTTACGAGGATCAAGAAAATGCTCACCTGGATGGTTTTCATCATTGTGTATTAATTATAGTCACCAGTAATCTCCACATGAACAATGCCCATCCCTGAAGTGATGATATATCTTCGAATCTCCCACTACTATCTCTCTGTTAGTAAATTCTGAAATCTTCTTTGCAGCACTATGGCACTTCTCACAGATTCTAGTATTCTTCCTTACAAGAATAGGGTTTCCAAGGGATGTGGAAATCAACCCGTAACAAATTGCTAATCTCACACTGTGGTACTTTGTCGAGTTTGCTCTTCTTCTTGCCAAATCTGGTGGTTTGGTTTTGGAGACTTCATAAGAACATAGTTCTTCCCCTATCTTCCTCAAAATAATGTCTAACACCTCATATATCACATTCGAATCGACATGGGACCTATCGTGATTGGTGAATCTGTAAGTCCTATTGTTGGTTTCCAGTATGCTGCATCCAGTGATTTTCTCTAACCTTTGGTTCCTCATAAGAAATTTAATCCGTTCTATGTCTTCCCATCTCCCAACTTCGGCATACATATTAGAAAGCAAGACATAGCATCCAGTATTATCATGTTCCAAGGATGAAATATGACAAGCTGCAAGTTCAGCCAGCTCTATGTTTCTGTGGTGCCTACTTGCAGCAAGGAGAGAACCCCATATTCTGGCAGTCGAAGTCAATGGCAATTCATCAATAAAACACTTAGCTTGGTCAAGATTTCCAGTGCGACCAAGAAGATCAAGCATACAACCATAGTGCTCTATTCCTGGATCAACTCCATAGCCACTTCTCATAGAATTGAAGTATTCCCATCCTTCATCCATCATGCCAGCAATGCTACAGGCTGATAAAAGGGACACAAAGGTACTGAAATTAGGTTTAATGTCCTTCTCCCTCATCTCAGAGAACAATTCAATAGAAATTGACCCCATTCCATGAATGGCATATGCCATAATGATTGTGTTCCACGAAATAACATCTTTAAACAATATCCCATCAAATATTTCCCGTCCAGCCCGGAGATCCCCACACTTTGCATACATGTACACAATTGAATTCATGATGAAGGTGTTGGAACTCAGTTGAACTTTTATGATGTAAGTGTGGATTTGCTTTCCCTCCCTCAGCAAGGCTATCTCAGCATAGGCAGGTAGAACGCTTGTGATTGTCATGGCATCTGGTTCGAGAGGCTCATTCCAAAGGTCCTGGAATACTTCCAAGGCTACTCTATTCTGCCCATTATGCACATAAGCAGCAATCATGGCATTCCATGATATCAGATTTCGATCCCTCATTCGAGCAAATATGCGTTCAGAAGGTTTCATCTCCCCACATGTTCCATACATGTCAATTAGAGCAGTCTCCAGTACACAATGAGGAAGAAACCCTTTTCTAATGGTGAGAGCATGGATTGATTTACCATGCAAGATTGCCCCCAACTGTGCACAAGCAGGGAGCAAGTTTATCATTGTGATCTCATCAAACTCAAAGCTATCACTGTAGCGCATTTTTTCCAAGCAGGCAAATGACTCAAGTGGCAGCCCATTTTGAGCATACCCTCCAACCATAGTATTCCAAACAACAATGCTTTTCTGAGAGATCCCCTCAAACAACCTCTCTGCATAATTCACTACACCACATTTTCCATACATATTGATCAGTGATGTCTGAACCATGGAATCCAATTCAAATCCCCTCCTGATCACTTGCCCGTGGATTTCCTTTCCACAGAGCAAAGAACACTCAAGGGTACAAGCGCCAAGAGCACCTATCATTGTGAATCTGTCAGTTCTCACTCCAAATGCCTGCATTTCCTGCATACACATAAGTGAGCTCCAACCGTCACCAACCAAAACATACGCACTTATCAATGAATTCCATGAAACCAAGTCCCTAATACCCATCTCCCCAAACACTCTCTCAGAAAGCTGAATATACCCAAGCTTTGCATACATTATGATAAGAGAATTACAAATATAAAGATCCAAATCCAATCCAACTTTGAGCAGCTTCGAGTGAACTTTCATGCCTTCCACATATGCCAATGACTCGCCACACGCTTTTATCACAAATGGGAAAGTGAAATTGTCGGGATGAACACCAGAAAATTGCATTCGATCATAGAAATCAATCGCTTCTTGAAAAAACCCATTATTAGTCAATCCCCTGATTATCACATTCCAAACAAAGCTATCTGATTTATCCATATTCTCAAACAGATTGAGTGCATGTTTCATAGACCCATAATCCACGTATGAACAAAGCGCATGTATGAGTGACAACTCTTGTGATCTATTCGAAGTTTTTACTGTCTTCGCTTGATATTTTTTGATACGAGCTGGTTCGGAGGCTCTTTGCTTGATGGTGGGGTCACGTTTCTGGATTGTGTTGGAACCTTTTGCTCTTCTTGGTGAGGGATTCTGATGATCGATGGCCTTGCAAGAACAGGTAAGAGCTAATGTCGCAGCCATGTTCGACTGGGCAGCTTCAAGAATTGGAAACGTTCACATTGATAAACATGGAGCTTCGTCTCGTTTCCCTTTTGGAGGGAGGTGGGGGAGAGAAGTCGTTAGTACCGTTTGTTTACATATGCTCTGATCTAATACGCGTTGGCGGGTTAATGACTTGGACAAATTTGTAACGGGCCCACCGAACAGTGGTTCAACGTATACGCGTCGCACTTAAAGACGTTAATACTTGGGTCGGATCACATCCCCGCACCCATATTAATATCTCGTTCAAATGAAAAGGAAAAAAACAGGTCAAGACTATAACTGGCTATGCGGATTCAAACACGCTTGCTAGTTTATCAAGATACTATTACACAAATTCGTTGGAAAAACGATTTGGTATAATCATTGGGGGAGAAAGCTCTTTAAGTTTTGTTAGGGGATTGAATATTATTTTCTATACTTATCTGGTATTGATGTATACAAAAGATATGAGTAAAAGTAGGTTACAGAAAAGAAGAATTTTGTATTTTTTTTTAGGGTAAGCAACTTTCATTTTACCAAATTTAATGGAAGGATTTTAAAGAGTGGATAATTTGTATTTTTCTATAACCNGACTCTTACTTCTTTGACTTCAATAATGGGAGATGAAATTTACAATCTGCCTCTTAAGCAACCAGGGATTCTTGTTTGTTGTTGGAGGTGTTATACAATATTTATAGAGTTGTTCTTTGTTCTGTGGAATCTCTGTCGAGATCTTAGCCTTTCATCCATAAATTCTTCCTTGATTGTTGGAGAATATTTTAGTTAGTTGAGAATTTTGTACTTTGAATATGACTCTTTGTCACCTGTAGGGTTCCTGTTAACATCCAGTTGTTCTCTTGTCATTTCCACTACTGTCTCCTCTGAGGAGAAACTCTAGCTCTGGTCCTCTGAGTTTTACGTGTCTTGTCTAACTTCTGCGCCTGAGCTCATACTTAAAAAATTATTCTAGATGTCTTCAAATTTATATTAAAAATCTCTCTCTATATTGGTACATATAATTTCATCTATGTTTTTCACGACATATGAGACGACCATAGTGAAAGAGTAATGTTGGATGGCGGTTCTCGTAACTAACATAGAGGCAATAGTTGGAGATGTGACGATGACAACCATAGTACTGTAGTAATGATGTCTAAGATTTGCCAACCTACAATTACCAATTTGGCTGTTGGAGTGGATACAGAAATAGGTAATTGAAACAGTAAATCTCATTTTCCTACCAAAGCATGGCATATCTAAATCCAACACTACTCTTATCAAATACCCCTCCCAGAGTTATTTGTAACAACCACACACAGCAGTCTAGCACCTTCTATTATTATCAAACGATCTTAGTTGAATCTCCACCACAACTTCCCAATTTCGAAAATTTTCCTAATTAGGGAACTTTCTAAAATCAAATCTTCCAGTCATTTAAACCTCGACCCCAGCCCAAGATGGAAACAACGTTAATTACGGTCTGGGATGATCTGGATTTTCAATTAAAACCATCTGAATCCATCGGCATTAATAACAGAGATGATCACTGTTCAGCCTGTTGTGTATACTAGCCTCAGAGACCTCTTGCCCTGCTTGATGCAGGCGACGACCAGCCGAAAAGGTAGCTGGCGTGAAATTCCGATCAAAGACCCACTTGTTCAGCATGCTGCTTGGGCTTATCTCCAGCCGATGATGACGGCGCGTGAGGTCGATGATCGGAGTTCTTCTGTGAGGTTGAAGAGTAAGTGTTGTCGGCTGTTGGAGTGCTTCGGAGAGTTCTTTGACGACGTCGTAGTGCCGACAATTAAAGGGTGGTTTAGTAATGGAGGTACAGAGAGTGAAGATGGTAGTGGTGGTAGATGAAGTTGACTCTTGAGTTATGAGACAAAGCGGCTTTTTGAAGCTTTGTTTTGACTGGTTGATAGAGTTCTGATTTGTATATAGAGATTCTCTTTTAATTTTCCATTTTCCACTATTTCTTATTGATTATTTGGTGGTGATGTGTAAATAGAAAGCTAAATTGGTTGTCTATGGAGGAGGAAGCTGATTTATTTATTTATTTATTTTTGTTTTTTGGATTTTTTAATTGTGGTTTTTTAATCCAATTAAACTTTAATATAATATTTTTTGTATGGTACATGTTATACATTGTTGTATACTAAATGCTCATTTGCATATCATACTAAGAAAAAAGAGAATTAGATTCGAGAATAGACGAAGTTGAAAACTTCTGGAACCCATCTAAATCATTAATTAATTTTTTTGTAAGTTTGTTATATATATATTAGCATTTGCATTGCTATTACATCTACTATTTATATATTAAGGTTTATATAGATTATTTTATCATAGGGTGATCAAATATATTTTTGCTTTTATGACAAATGATTTTTTTCTTTAAAAAATTAATAAATGTTATAAAATCGTAGTTAGTATTTTCATAGTCTACATCCTCAAACAGATATACATATATTTTATAATAACATTAAAGTGAGAACAAATTTTCTTGCTCCTTTGAGGAATATTTACGAGGATCAAGAAAATGCTCACCTGGATGGTTTTCATCATTGTGTATTAATTATAGTCACCAGTAATCTCCACATGAACAATGCCCATCCCTGAAGTGATGATATATCTTCGAATCTCCCACTACTATCTCTCTGTTAGTAAATTCTGAAATCTTCTTTGCAGCACTATGGCACTTCTCACAGATTCTAGTATTCTTCCTTACAAGAATAGGGTTTCCAAGGGATGTGGAAATCAACCCGTAACAAATTGCTAATCTCACACTGTGGTACTTTGTCGAGTTTGCTCTTCTTCTTGCCAAATCTGGTGGTTTGGTTTTGGAGACTTCATAAGAACATAGTTCTTCCCCTATCTTCCTCAAAATAATGTCTAACACCTCATATATCACATTCGAATCGACATGGGACCTATCGTGATTGGTGAATCTGTAAGTCCTATTGTTGGTTTCCAGTATGCTGCATCCAGTGATTTTCTCTAACCTTTGGTTCCTCATAAGAAATTTAATCCGTTCTATGTCTTCCCATCTCCCAACTTCGGCATACATATTAGAAAGCAAGACATAGCATCCAGTATTATCATGTTCCAAGGATGAAATATGACAAGCTGCAAGTTCAGCCAGCTCTATGTTTCTGTGGTGCCTACTTGCAGCAAGGAGAGAACCCCATATTCTGGCAGTCGAAGTCAATGGCAATTCATCAATAAAACACTTAGCTTGGTCAAGATTTCCAGTGCGACCAAGAAGATCAAGCATACAACCATAGTGCTCTATTCCTGGATCAACTCCATAGCCACTTCTCATAGAATTGAAGTATTCCCATCCTTCATCCATCATGCCAGCAATGCTACAGGCTGATAAAAGGGACACAAAGGTACTGAAATTAGGTTTAATGTCCTTCTCCCTCATCTCAGAGAACAATTCAATAGAAATTGACCCCATTCCATGAATGGCATATGCCATAATGATTGTGTTCCACGAAATAACATCTTTAAACAATATCCCATCAAATATTTCCCGTCCAGCCCGGAGATCCCCACACTTTGCATACATGTACACAATTGAATTCATGATGAAGGTGTTGGAACTCAGTTGAACTTTTATGATGTAAGTGTGGATTTGCTTTCCCTCCCTCAGCAAGGCTATCTCAGCATAGGCAGGTAGAACGCTTGTGATTGTCATGGCATCTGGTTCGAGAGGCTCATTCCAAAGGTCCTGGAATACTTCCAAGGCTACTCTATTCTGCCCATTATGCACATAAGCAGCAATCATGGCATTCCATGATATCAGATTTCGATCCCTCATTCGAGCAAATATGCGTTCAGAAGGTTTCATCTCCCCACATGTTCCATACATGTCAATTAGAGCAGTCTCCAGTACACAATGAGGAAGAAACCCTTTTCTAATGGTGAGAGCATGGATTGATTTACCATGCAAGATTGCCCCCAACTGTGCACAAGCAGGGAGCAAGTTTATCATTGTGATCTCATCAAACTCAAAGCTATCACTGTCGCGCATTTTTTCCAAGCAGGCAAATGACTCAAGTGGCAGCCCATTTTGAGCATACCCTCCAACCATAGTATTCCAAACAACAATGCTTTTCTGAGAGATCCCCTCAAACAACCTCTCTGCATAATTCACTACACCACATTTTCCATACATATTGATCAGTGATGTCTGAACCATGGAATCCAATTCAAATCCCCTCCTGATCACTTGCCCGTGGATTTCCTTTCCACAGAGCAAAGAACACTCAAGGGTACAAGCGCCAAGAGCACCTATCATTGTGAATCTGTCAGTTCTCACTCCAAATGCCTGCATTTCCTGCATACACATAAGTGAGCTCCAACCGTCACCAACCAAAACATACGCACTTATCAATGAATTCCATGAAACCAAGTCCCTAATACCCATCTCCCCAAACACTCTCTCAGAAAGCTGAATATACCCAAGCTTTGCATACATTATGATAAGAGAATTACAAATATAAAGATCCAAATCCAATCCAACTTTGAGCAGCTTCGAGTGAACTTTCATGCCTTCCACATATGCCAATGACTCGCCACACGCTTTTATCACAAATGGGAAAGTGAAATTGTCGGGATGAACACCAGAAAATTGCATTCGATCATAGAAATCAATCGCTTCTTGAAAAAACCCATTATTAGTCAATCCCCTGATTATCACATTCCAAACAAAGCTATCTGATTTATCCATATTCTCAAACAGATTGAGTGCATGTTTCATAGACCCATAATCCACGTATGAACAAAGCGCATGTATGAGTGACAACTCTTGTGATCTATTCGAAGTTTTTACTGTCTTCGCTTGATATTTTTTGATACGAGCTGGTTCGGAGGCTCTTTGCTTGATGGTGGGGTCACGTTTCTGGATTGTGTTGGAACCTTTTGCTCTTCTTGGTGAGGGATTCTGATGATCGATGGCCTTGCAAGAACAGGTAAGAGCTAATGTCGCAGCCATGTTCGACTGGGCAGCTTCAAGAATTGGAAACGTTCACATTGATAAACATGGAGCTTCGTCTCGTTTCCCTTTTGGAGGGAGGTGGGGGAGAGAAGTCGTTAGTACCGTTTGTTTACATATGCTCTGATCTAATACGCGTTGGCGGTTAATGACTTGGACAAATTTGTAACGGGCCCACCGAACAGTGGTTCAACGTATACGCGTCGCACTTAAAGACGTTAATACTTGGGTCGGATCACATCCCCGCACCCATATTAATATCTCGTTCAAATGAAAAGGAAAAAAACAGGTCAAGACTATAACTGGCTATGCGGATTCAAACACGCTTGCTAGTTTATCAAGATCCTATTACACAAATTCGTTGGAAAAACGATTTGGTATAATCATTGGGGGAGAAAGCTCTTTAAGTTTTGTTAGGGGATTGAATATTATTTTCTATACTTATCTGGTATTGATGTATACAAAAGATATGAGTAAAAGTAGGTTACAGAAAAGAAGAATTTTGTATTTTTTTTTAGGGTAAGCAACTTTCATTTTACCAAATTTAATGGAAGGATTTTAAAGAGTGGATAATTTGTATTTTTCTATAACCCCCAATTGAGAAGTAAGAGAATATGCAACTCTTACAGGAAAGATGGATTGGATCAAGAGGTGATACCTAAGCGTTTTATTGATAGAATTTCCATCATTGAATTCTCCGACGAAATAGACAAGGGTAAGGCACCAAACATATTCTATCCTCAATATCCATCGGTCATTTGTAATCTCGATTTGCTTTTCCTATTCACTAGTACACCCGGTATGACAATGTCATTCTTTCTAGAGTTAAAATAAGAATATGACAAACGGCTAGAATGTATCTAACATATTCTTATTGTCTGCTTTCGTTATTCCTTTTGTCTCGAAAATTTATTCAATATTTCTTCAAAAGCTTTTAATTGACTAGTCAATTAGTTGGCATGCATTATAATATTTTCTCAAGTTCAGAATAAATATTTACCCGTGTTAATATCAATTACGTCGTGAAGGCAAAATATCAATAACCAAGTGCCTAAACAGGATTAAGAGAGAACTTGGAGAAAGAGAAAAAAAGAGAAAAAAATTCTAATAAGCCCAAAATTAACTGGGTCATGCCCAATTAATCAAAAGAGTCCTATGTCACCTCGGAACCCAACTCAACAAGTCAAGAAGAAATCCAAGTTAAAAGGAAACCAAAGTCAAAGAAGAGTTTAAGGGGCACACCCCAAAGGGCGCTGCCCAAGGGGGGTTACCTAAAGGGGCGTCACCTAAGGGCTACCCCAAAGGGACGCCGCCCAAGCGAGGCCACCCCAAGGGGATCTCTCCATCCTTCGTCTCATATTCCCTCTCCTACGCAACCTCGTGGAGTCATTCGCCCTTTTGATTCTGACACTCCAATTTAAGTCTAGCACCCACCAACTCAAGTCCAAGCCCAAGATCATCCTTCGACTGAATTGAAGCACGAAAGAGAGAATATCAGAATAGGCACAGAGATCTAATCTTATCTTATTTGTACTTAACAAAATAGTAGAAGTCCTCTCCCTCACGTCACCACCTCATCGCCTTACTATACCTATATAATGCAAGCCCTCTCCACATAGAGGGCATCACCTTATGACCTTGAGACCTCTACATCACACACACACCTCTCTACACACCAAGCCTTTTTCTCTCTCTCTAAAAGCATTGTAATTCTCTCGGAGTATACTCTCTTGGTGNACCAAGCCTTTTTCTCTCTCTCTAAAAGCATTGTAATTCTCTCGGAGTATACTCTCTTGGTGACTTTTATTCATCAGTAAAGATCTTCGGCCACCGCTGCCATTTCCGAGAGTGGAGTAGGTCACCCGGACCGAACCACAATAAATCTGTGTGTTTGCCTTTATTTATTGTTTAGCCATCGATTGTTTTATTTACTGTTCATTAATTGTATCTCTTAATATACTCGACTGTTGATCTTACGCAACACTATTTTGTACATCATCAAATCCAAACAAAGGCATCATACAACATGTTGCTTCCGGTGAGATAGCATTCCTAGTTGCCTTCCTTGTCATCCAAGTTTCTTTTTGATCTTTCCTTGATCATGTTAAAAANTCCGGTGAGATAGCATTCCTATTTGCCTTCCTTGTCATCCAAGTTTCTTTTTGATCTTTCCTTGATCATGTTAAAAATAAATGCCAAATTCAAGCAGAATATGAACCATGTATTACAACTAATAAGAGGAGACATTTAGTAATAAGAGAAAGTACAAAACAAAAATGTAAGCAAGCTTCTACATTTACATATCAAGCTGGTACACTACATGTTAATGCATTACCAATTAGAATTGAATGAAGTTTAATGCTCCTCAGGAATGCTCTGTAGTGCAGGCCTCCAAGAACAATGGCGGCTCACCTTCGCCTGACTACTTCTCGTAAGGTGCCTTATTCTCATAAGATTTAAGTGCTGTTCCAAAGACAACGATGGCATTGACGGCGGAGTTGTCGATTGACGAGGAAGAGCTGTGTTTTTAGCTCCTTTCATCACTTCCAATAATTGCTTCAAATCTTGTTTTCTCACTTTAACCTTCATCCTCACTACCCCATCTTCATCAGTGTGAGAAACAACACATCCGGCTCCTCCGTTTACTTGTGCAATGGCATCCAACACTTTAGTCTTTGCAGCTCTTGGATTCCGAGCTCGCGCGAATCTGAANAATTCTAATAAGCCCAAAATTAACTGGGTCATGCCCAATTAATCAAAAGAGTCCTATGTCACCTCGGAACCCAACTCAACAAGTCAAGAAGAAATCCAAGTTAAAAGAAAACTAAAGTCAAAGAAGAGTTTAAGGGGCACACCCCAAAGGGTGCTGCCCAAGGGGGGTTACCTAAAGGGGCGTCACCTAAGGGCTACCCCAAAGGGACGCCGCCTAAGCGAGGCCACCCCAAGGGGATCTCTCCATCCTTTGTCTCATATTCCCTCTCCTACGCAACCTCGTGGAGTCATTCGCCCTTTTGATTCTGACACTCCAATTTAAGTCTAGCACTCACCAACTCAAGTCCAAGCCGAAGATCATCCTTCGACTGAATTGAAGCACGAAGGAGAGAATATCAGAATAGGCACGGAGATCTAATCTTACCTTATTTGTACTTAACAAAATAGTAGAAGTCCTCTCCCTCACGTCACCACCTCATCGCCTTACTAAACCTATATAATGCAAGCCCTCTCCACATAGAGGGCATCACCTTATGATCTTGAGACCTCTACATCACACACACACCTCTCTACACACCAAGTCTCTTTCTCTCTCTCCGAAAGCATTGTAATTCTCTTCGAGTATACTCTCTTGGTGACTTTTATTCATCAGTAAAGATCTTCGGCCACCGCTACCGTTTCCGAGAGTGGAGTAGGTCACCCGGACCGAACCACAATAAATCTGTGTGTTTGCCTTTATTTATTGTTTTGCCATCGATTGTTTTATTTACTGTTCATTAATTGTATCTCTTAATATACTCGACTGTTGATCTTACGCAACACTATTTTGTGCATCATCAAATCCAAACAAAGACATCATACAACATGTTGCTTCCGGTGAGATAGCATTCCTATTTGCCTTCCTTGTCATCCAAGTTTCTTTTTGATCTTTCCTTGATCATGTTAAAAATAAATGCCAAATTCAAGCAGAATATGAACCATGTATTACAACTAATAAGAGGAGACATTTAGTAATAAGAGAAAGTACAAAACAAAAATGTAAGCAAGCTTCTACATTTACATATCAAGCTGGTACACTACATGTTAATGCATTACCAATTAGAATTGAATGAAGTTTAATGCTCCTCAGGAATGCTCTGTAGTGCAGGCCTCCAAGAACAATGGCGGCTCACCTTCGCCTGACTACTTCTCGTAAGGTGCCTTATTCTCATAAGATTTAAGTGCTGTTCCAAAGACAACGATGGCATTGACGGCGGAGTTGACGATTGACGAGGAAGAGCTGTGTTTTTAGCTCCTTTCATCACTTCCAATAATTGCTTCAAATCTTGTTTTCTCACTTTAACCTTCATCCTCACTACCCCATCTTCATCAGTGTGCGAAACAACACATCCGGCTCCTCCGTTTACTTGTGCAATGGCATCCAACACTTTAGTCTTTGCAGCTCTTGGATTCCGAGCTCGCGCGAATCTGAATTCTCTCCTCAGCCAGGCCTTGTCGTCCGCGATCTTCAACTCCATCTCTTCTCTCTCTCTTCTCTCTCTCTATGTATATGTTTCGTGTGTGTGTTGGATGGATCAAAGCTCAAAGAGCATTGAGCCTTTTATAGTAACAACACAGAAACTATCCTAATTCTTAATGCAAGTTATGCTAGTTAAAAAAGTCAAACGGGAATAGATTATTCAGCCTAGTGGTTAGGCTTATTTGTATGAGTATAATCGAGTGGAGGCCATTGAGTATATATATATATATATTTTTATTTTTTTTTTGGAGAGAGAAGAGAGAAGAGGGCTTGAACTCTTAATTTCAAAAAGACAAAACCTTCACAAAATAAAGAATATCATTGAACTAAAAGCCTCATTAGTAGGTCATCGAGTATAAATATGCCCAAATTCAATTTAAGTTGTAATTAGCGAAACTTATATTCTTGTTTAAGTTTATAGCTTGACAAGAACGTATAAGTTTTTTTAGCTAGGCGTGATTTAAAACAAAACTAGTTTCCCAACATTATATAAAAATTAAATAACTAGTAGAATGTAAATATTGATCCTAAAATAATTAATTTTTCAACAAAATCCTATTTATGTACAATTAACCATTATATAAACCCCTAAAAGTTCGCTTAAGAGTCTAATGAGAAGAGAGCAAGAGAAAATCATATATATAAACTTGAGTTATCCGGGGTTCAGTTAAAGTTATTTATCTCTTGGATAAGGGTTATTTGACAATAATGCTATAGTTATTAATAGTAAAATTTATACAAGCCCAATTGAATCAACTTCAGTCAAGTTCCTTGCTAGTTGTTCTAAGCTTGTTTACAAACAAGCTCGAAAATTGATAGAATTTCATTCATTTAGCGACTTAAAGAAGCAAAAACCAAACCAAGCTGTGTTGGGTTGTTTAATAGCCGTACACATTTGTCAAGCGGGGGGATTTTTCATGGTTAGATTATTGATCAGTCAATAGTTTATTAGTAAAATTCCCATATATTATACAAGTATTTAAACCCCCACCGCCCCCTCACATGCAAATCCTAATGTTGCGCAGGAATAAAATTGAGACAACACTTACGTATACCTGAATAGTGGATTGATTCGTAATTAGTTAGCTTTTTTTATGAAAAAATTTGAGCAGATTGCGGTTACAAATCAATGCTGAAGAAAGAAATGTGATTTGCTGAAGAAAGAAGTAGGTGGCATTCCTCAGGAGGTCCTGGGGAGAACCTTTTTGAACCTCATACTCTAATTTGTTCCAAATCAAGAAATTGTCAACTCTTGTGATGCTCACACCCTGTATCTCTCTCTCATCATTCCTATTCTCATAAACTAACTCAACCTCTTAGATTCTTAGTTCGCTATAGGACTTTCTGTGAATTTACCATTGGATCCTTTGGTTCCATGTAGCTCTTTTTGTAAATTTATAATTGAGGATGATGAATTTAAATCTGGGCTTCTTCCAGAGCGTAAAACCTGTTGGGCTCATTTAAGACAACCCCAAGCGCTTCATCCAGGCATCGCTCATCGGTCCAAGCCCATAAGAGTTGTTTGGTATGTGAGTTTGAGGGATTTTGGGAACATGGGTTAGAGAGTAAACCTCCTTAAATCCATGTTTGGCAACCATGAAGTATGAATAGAATTTCAAACTCGGCCCGGTTATAAAACCCACATAATTGGGTTTCATGAAACCCAAGGGGGGTGGGTTTCACTTGTGGGTTTGAGGATTTAACATGTAAATGACATTTATATTCCTATATATCTTATATACCTCATATATACAAATTGGTTAAGGGACAAAAAAGTCAAATATATACAAATATATTATCATAATAGTAATATACATTGTGCATACCAAACACGGGCATGAATAGCATTAACCCCCTCAAACCCACTTTGAATCCCATCTTTAGTCAAACCTGGGTTTAGATAATCCAATCCAAATCCCTCCCAAAAAATATACCAAACAGACCGATAGAGGTCTGTAATAAACCAGCTCAAAATAGGTGATAGCTCGAAATCAGTAAGCTCAATACATGTACCAACTCGAGAATTGGGAGCATGACGCCAAACTATTTGCCAAAAGATTTACCACAACAAGTGCACAGGGGACATTACTTGATAGTCCTAACGAGTAAAAATCCACCGGTCAAGTATTCCATTTGAGGCATAGTGAGTGCAAAAAAAGGTCAAAAATTGCAAAATCCAACAAAAGGACAAATGCAGAGGAGACCACAGAATCAGCCAAAAAAAAAACCACCAAAAAACCCTAGCAATAAGACGTATAAATAGCTAACAACATCATAGAGAAAGGGGTCCCAACAATAACAACTTAGGCAGCACTCAGTAAAAGGCTTCAAGCCGATTCTCTTGTAACATTTATTTTCTTTTTTCAAGTAATACGATTGCTAAGGAGCAAGAGCTTCCTTTACAATGGACGTAACCCTAATCCTTCGGTTGGCATAAACTACTCATATTTTTATCTTAATCTTGCATTTAACACCGAGCACCCTATCTAATATACACACACGTTCACCCACTCTTTGGGTCACATCCCGGATTGTTATGTAATCTAGTCCACCTGATTTCAAGCACAATCAATAATTATTTACGTAAATGTGTAAAATTTCAAGTCCTAGGAACTAGCATTCTGTATAAAACTGTGTAGATCTGACTGACTTTACAGGCCTAACCATATCTAAGGCGAAAAAAGTGTACAGTTTCCAGCTACCAAAATGGTCTCTCCACGTACAAGATAACATTAGGGATACACAGCTTCCTATCGAAAATGTTTTCATGGAGATCTGGTCCGGTGTGATTCTGGATGTCACAGAACACGGAACCAGAACTGGTTGATATGCATAGGAAAGGTAGATGACGTAGGCTCGTCCACCTAATCAGAACCAGCAGTGTTGAAAATCAGACTGTAAAAGAACGAGCTCCAATTTTCGGATCAAGTAGGACTAGTTGAGATGAAATCTAACCTTTTCATCGATACTTAGCAGGACGGGTTGCTTGAGTCAAAACCAAGCAGTTGAGTATTACTACGTTGCCAGTGAAGGTATCGATGGGATCAAAGTTCTTTGCCATAGTCACTCCACAAGAATGAGGAGGGACCAGGGAGGTGGCAGTTGGGACTGAACCTACAGGATGTTTTGCCCAACTCATAGGGTGTTCCGAGAGAGATGGTCACATGCATGGCTGCAAATTCTCTTTTCTTTCCTACTAATATTTGAGTGTCCTACCTAAATCCGCCCACTGCACAGAGTTTTTCGTCACTGTAATGTCTAAGGAAATTTATATATTTGCAACTTTACCCCCATTGCTTAGAATTTATCCGTGACTCAAATAACAACAAAGCAACTTTATTCACCAAGTTTCATTGTCTTCCAGTTGATGAATCTAATCATCTTTACAAAAATATGACAACGGATTTTCTCCAACTGTGACAAATTCCAACATTGGGATCACGGTGATGTTGAGTGGGCTATTCAAGTTGGAGGAAGACATCTGAATCCCTAAATGGAAGACTGTGGGGTTACACAGCCAACCTCTGCCATATGGGGAGCAAGGGGATACTGACAAAAGCAATATACTTCGAAATCAATGAAGAATCACTCTTTCAGAAAGGCATGGTGGGGCAGATAAGTCAGTAAAGTGGGAGATTCAAAATAAAACGTTTATAATCCAGAGGCTACTAGGTGGTCACAACACCACAAGGCTTAATAATATGGACAAGAAAAGAAAGGACATGCCATACAATACACCAAGGCTCTGGATAAGTCATGTGTTTCTTCCTAGAGGAAGGTCCAAGCTTCCCCTAACACCCCCACTAGTTTGGAAGCTAAAAAACAGATCTAAGCTAACTCGTACTCTCAGATCACATTTTGTTGCATTGGACTCGGGCATATCCAGAGGGAGAGAAAAAGTTTCGACCAGAATGGTAGAAGGAAGCAACTTGCATACAGAAAACTATATTCAAGCATGAGTAATTACAAGAACTTAGACATCGGAGGTTTACTAAGCTCTTTGATTTTGAACCTACTAAAAACAAACCAATGGCACCGACAAAAACATGGTCGGTCTATATGCTTATTTTACAGACATAATGCCCATAGCATGCAACCTTCACCTGCCGACTTGAATCCAGTTTCGGCTTAGGACCCTTTTGTAAATACCAATACAATGGACGTTTATCACACTAACATGGTGGACAAATGGTGATTTTACATAAAAAATGTAGAAATCCTTGTTCTGTTGCCAAAAGGGAGGGAAAAAAATATGAAGTTCAAGACGCTGTTCAAATAAAATATACACTCAAACTTTATGGATGCAATGCACCTTTCCATTAAAAAAAAACATAGAGATCTGCAAAAGAAGAAGTGTTGCATAACCCAAAAAAGCATAACACATGCCAGAGATGCCATCAAAGTTTTTGTCTCTGACAAGGAAAGTGAAACTTATCCAGTTGGGTTGAGAGTTATGCCAAGGCTTAACGAAGAGCACAAGGACCACGGGACCTCAAATGACTCGTCAACCTCTAATAAGATACCATATCAAAAAGGTAGCAGCATCACGTGCCATGTCTCTACTAAATGATTTATATATTACAAGACAATTACAGCACTTCTACAGCTACATGCCAGCAAAATTCCCATCCCAACACAAACCCACCAACTCAATGGCCGGACAGAAACCGAAAGCAATCAAATAGACAAAAAGAAGGAAGTTCAAATCTACACAATTGACATATAATGCTGGAATACACTCAAATTCAAAGACAACGCCTTTATGTGTTCATACGCTTAAAGGACCAACTTCCTCAAAATTTATTATCATTCAGAGTTCAAAATTACACATAATAAAAAGCTAAATTAAAAGGAAAAAATACAATCACAGCATTAAATTAAAACCATCAAACATAATCCAACAAATATGACAAAAGAACTAGAACAGCATGAGAATAACCTCTCTAAGCATTGCAACCCGGCTTCTAATCCCTTGTCGAAGCCTTGTTTTCGGGTTTGCGGCAGAGAATCATGTGCATAGGAGTGAAAATACCAGTGTCGCCACCTCTGGTCAGGTAATCAGCAGTCACGAACAGCATTTCGTGAACATCCACAACCCCTTTCGGTGCAATCCCCAACCATGAAAGCACCGTAACCAAAATGTGATTCCTCCAATAAGCAATCCTCCCCATCTTCAGCCTTGTCCACCATGGCTGTGCTGGTGGCTTTGCCAAATCATTCTCTTTCACCACCTCAAATCCTACCTTCCTCGCAGTCTCAGCTATATCTTTGTAACTTCTCAATCCAGGCAATGCATTCCCTCGTTCAATCCCCTGAATGACCTCAACATGCTCGGGATAATCAGAATTATACAATTCGGTGGTAACCCACTCGTAGGATATATACATCGATCCAGGTTTCAAAACCCTAAAGATCTCAGCATACACTTCTTCGAGCTTCGGAGCGTGACAAGTGGCTTCAATCGAGTAAACTCCATCGAAGCTACTGTCCGCAAATGGCATTTGGAGGAAATTACCACAAACAACTTCACATAGGGAATCAAGACCAGCTTTTTGATTGTGAATTCGTGCTCGATTAACTTGATACTCATTAATGGTGATGCCGACCACATTTGCGCCAGAATGAGCGGCGATTGCGCGCATCGGACCACCGACGCCACAGCCTGCGTCGAGAATGCGAGCCCCGGGCTTGATATTCAGAAGATCTACGGCCATTTCTTCGTGGATTCGAGTGGCGTCGCGGTGAGATTTGCCGGGAATAGAGGGGGAGAAGTGGAAAGATTGGCCCCAACCCCACTCGTAAATGTCGGTGACGAGATTGTAGAACGTGTCGACGAATGCCGGGACTTTCTCGGCGTTCTCGATTTCTTTGGGACGGCGAAAAAAGGACCAGTACTGTTTGTACTTATCTTGGACCTTTTCGCGAGAGATTGAGCCGCCGGAGAGGTTGACGGCGTGCTTGCCCTTTCTCTCCGCGGAGCCGAGGACGCATACAAACCAGTAGAGGCCGCCGAACAGGAGGGAGGCGGTGCAGAAGAGAGTGAGAGAGTCCATGGTGGAGAGAGAGAGAGAGAGGGAGTGCAGCAAGTGGTGTGTGAATGAAAGGTGGTGATGGTGTTTTATGTTGGAGATGGGGAAAGTCTGTCCCGCTCTCTCAGAAATTTTCACGTTGGTGGTCTATATTGACAGTAAGACTGATTAATAATAAAATCTCATGTATTAGTATTAATAATAAATAATTATATTAAAGACGATCTCAATTTTGCGTCTAGACTAAGGGTGTTCACCCTATCCTACGAATAAGAAATATTATCTTTCATCTTTCTACCCGATATTTTGAGGAAGAATTTTTTCTTGGCTTATCATACACGATCAGGTATAGTATTCCTATCCGATTAATCGGGTAAAAAATTGGGTAAACACTTTTGTAACTATTAATTTTTGGATCATTTTAACAATTCAGTTAAATAACATGCACAAATTTAATAATACAATAAATCAATAACACTAAAATCTAAAACAATTATAACAATAATTATAATAAAACATAATAAAGTATGAAAACCAATTTATCATAATTGTTACACAAATACAATAACAATTATTTTAATTTTAAACCATATGAAACACATTAAAATCATAACTGCTCTAATAGATCACCAGTTCACCACAAATCATGCAATTTACAAAAAAATAAGTCTATGTTTTCGCAACTCAAATATTTAAAACATGAATAATATAAATTATACCACACAAATACTCTTATAATTATTAAAAAAAATATAAAAGAGTTAAATATATTTTTTGCGGGTATGATAAGATAGGAATACAGAAATTGATGAGTATTTTGCATTCCTACCTGATTTAATCGGAAGATCAAAACCTCTTTTGTATTCTTACTCGATTTTTGTGGCTAATCTTTCAATAAGATAAAATAGAGTCGGGTAAAATAAAAAATTACGATCAATTAAAAATTTGAACACTCGTAATTGTGACAAGCCCACATGAGAATAGATCATAGTGAGATGTAAAGTGATTAAACTATAATGCCAAACCCACCAAAATGGATACGAAGTTCGCAACTTGTTAGGGATTAAAACAGTTTTGAATAAATAAATGATACATATATTTGGTGTAACGCATGGTGTTATAAGTGCAACGAGATCCATGGATTCTCTTGTAAATACAGGATAAATAATCTATCAAAAAAAAACATATTAAAGAAAATAATAAAAGATAGCTTGACCCGTTTGCATCTCATGGGTCCCGAGAGTTAAAATAATATCCCTTTTGAAAATGTTGGTCGTGTCTTTTAGAAAGTAATTTCACCTCCAACACCCATTACATGTAAGTCTTAAAGAGAAGGACATTTTTTTTTATTTAACAGTCAGAGATGAGATGTAAAAAAAAAAAAAAAAACACTTTAATGGTGAAGATAAACTTCTTAGTCCTTCCTCACTAGGGTAATGGGCATCACTCTCCAATCACTCGTCTCAGCTCACCAATAGCTTTCTTGGACTTTTGCTTCGGCCTCACACATTCTTATAATAGGGAAATTGGTAGGGGTAGATCAAATTAGATTTAATTGTAAAAAAGTACATACAAAAAAATGTTGAGTAATTAAGTCTTTAATTTTGATACTTATTTGTATTTAAGTACATTATTTGAATTTTATTGATTTTTTTGTGATATTTTTGTCCTCTATTGATCCATGTGTATTATCTTTAGAAAATGTTGCATTAAATATCTTCTTTAGAAAGTGGTATATATATATATATACTTGTTGTTAAATCTCTTATATAAATTTTAAATTACCTTTATTGTACCTTAATTCATGTGTATTTTTTTTTGGAAAGTGATTCTATTTTCAAATAAATTTCATATTTGAATAGTGTAACAATAACAGTGTAATAAAAACAGTGTTCAGTAGTTTTGTACATATGGTAACAAAATCAAAACGAAAATGAACTGTTTTGAATGAAATTATATGAAAATATATGTTTGACAAAATGTAATAGTACAATACTTTGTGTATATAGCTTGTTACACTGTTATTGTTATATTATTATATTATTCGAATATTAAATTAATTTAAAAATAAAATAACTTTCCAAAAAAAAAAACGCATGAATCAATATGCATTAAATATAATTTGAAAATAAAATCGTTTTTCAAAAAAAAAATTGCATGAATCAAGGGAGTACATACAAATATGAAATATTAATCCAAAATATTTTGTTATATTTATTTTTTACCAAATAAGTCTAATTAGGTATATTGACTTTCAAAGAATCCTTTTATAATTGTGCAGAAGAAAATTACCCAATGGATTGGTGTGGGCTTTCTAGTGTTTCGGCCTGAATGATCCAAGTTGGCCCTTCAGCCCATTCACTTTTTTGCATTGGAGGCCAGATGCTTTTTAGTGGGATATTAGGGGTAACCCGTGCCTGAAGGCACAGTGCAATGTAAATGAGAAGTGATGGATTTAGGAGGGTAGAAATTCAATGTGAATAATTTTGAGAAGGATGTTGAAGACTGTTAGATGAGTTTATTTGATACAATCGAATAAATTTATTGAAATCTGTCCTATTTAATATTATATATTTGACACAAATAAAAGTAATATTCTATAATATTTTTAATCTTCTTACAAATACTATATTTTACTCATTTTTGGTTATATATTTCATAATTTTTGAACCAAATGAAGCTCTAACAAATCATACAAATATTATAAATAATCAATTTTAGTTTGCTAATTTTAACAGTTTTGGTATGAACTTTTTTTTTGTTATAGTACCCAACTTGTTTAACCCAATTTATTTATTTTTTCATAAATTATTACAGCAGGTCCAATTAAGAATATCCAAAAAAAATATATAAAACTTATGTAACTAAAAAAAAATGTATCAGGGTAGTCCTAAACCCCACCTCTATCCACCATTACTAGAGAGAGAGTGTGTGAAGAGTGAGAAAATGAAGGTAAAATTCAATTTGAATAATTATCAGAGAGATGTTAATAGCCGTTAGATGAGTTTATTTAATATCGTCGGATGAACTTATTAAAGTCTTTTATATTTTATGTTATAGATAAATCCATAAAATATAATAGAATTTACTAAAAAAAATAATAATTGATATACATGTAATCAAAATTGATCATTCATTTATATACATGTAATCAAAATAGAGTCAAATCTAATATAAATAAAAATTTTAATTTATCAAAAAACATATCGCCAAAATATGTTCAATCAAAAAAAGTTCTACAAATATCATTTATAAAATATTATTTTTTAATTAGTTAAAGTTTTTACAAAATTATTAATTTATAAGAATATATTAGCGTAAGATTTTCTTAAGAGATAAAAAATATTAGTCTTGAACTTTTGATTCAACATATGTGTAAGGCATGTTAGTTTGAGATAATTAATTAATTAAATAAAATTAAAATTAATTATATTCAATATAAATGTGTTAAGTAGCGCCTTGTTTTTCTTATTTGTTAAATTGATGAGTTTTTTTTAATCAAAATATTATTATTATGTCTTATAAAAATTCAAATTGTTACACTACACATATGATATTAATGACAAACTTAACTCAATTAATTATAATGTTAATAAATGTCTCATGTTCCAAGATCAGCCGGAATCATTGACTGATTGAAAAAAAAATGATAATTTATTAATATTTGAATGAATGAATTTGAGATTGTAGGATGTGTCCAAAATTAGTCGTAATCATTGACTGGTTGGGGGGAATATTAAGGAAAAAAAAGTAATTTCTTGACCATTGGATTAATGAATTTAAGATCGTAAAATGAACTTGTTGAAGCCGTCCTGTTTTATATTATAAATGGACCATGGAAAAAAAAGTAGTACTACTTTTAGGTAACCTTTGCAGCTCATTTTAGATTTTGGTCCCTGAAGTTAGCATTTGTAATAATGGAAATAGTAAATTGGAAGAGAGTATATTAAATTGGGTTTAATTGTAAAAAAATATAAAAAAAAAAATATAAAGTAAAAAAGTCTTTAATTTTATATCTTAATTGTGTACAAGTACATAATTTGAAATTTTTTATTTTTTCTTTGACATTTGTGTCCTCTCTTAAATCATGTCATTATTTTTGGAAATTGTTTTTTTTTTCAAATTATATTTAAGCATTAAAAATATCTTAATTTAATGAAAATTTTGATTCTTCCGTTTATTTTGAGGATAGATTAGTTGGTTTGAATTTTAAATATTATTTCATTGCAACTCCGAAAATATTATTTCATCTTCATCATTCAATCTAAGTAATTACAAGGTTTGAATTCATGATTCCATTAAGTTTATGTATGTCATTTAAAAGGTGATTAGACTGTTTTTTTATATGTGAATATCATAACACAAGTTCATCATATATATGTGTTTGTAGTGTAACAATAATACTGTAAAAATTTACTTACACAAAACATTGTACTGTTACATTTTGTCAAACATAAATTTGCATATAACTTCATTGTCACAGTCCAGCTTTGTTTTAAATTTATTATCACATCCACAAAATTACTGAATAATATATGTGTTATAGTATTATACTATATTGTTACATTATATTTGTTATACTATGTGGGAAACACATACAAACTTACATCTACAAATGGCGGACCAATAGGATTTTTCTTTCAAAAACGAAACTCTATAGATGTTCAGCGAACGATTTAGGATTACTCACCAAGAAAGATGAAACAGTTTTCGTATAAGAAGAAGAAGTTGTAATCGTTTTTTTGAAAATGAAGTTTTTTCACGAATTAATGTTCCTAAAATCCAGTGGTTAAGCCTTATTACTGTGTACCTAATTAATTTGGAGATATATTCCTAAAATTGTTTTTAGAAAAGTAATGTTTCTAAAATTCAACGGTTAAGTTTTATTATTGTGTACCTAATTAATGTTAAGATATATTCCTAAAATTATTTTTAAGAAAATAAATTTTAGAAAATAGGCACTGAAGTCTTTGTATCTCAGCAGTGTACTTCTTTACAATACATTTTTTTCTATGTACTTTTTT